GGCGGTGCAACCGGAGAGACAGCTAGTGTTCGAGGCCCACGTTGGGCGCCATTTGTTGCACCTTGCGAAAGAACGGACTCAGTCTGGGATGCAGAGTGAGACAACTTTATTCTCAAACCATCTCCTTTTTATACTCTTTTAACACAAGTGTTGCTAAAATTACACTCAATCAGCATCTTGCCAGCCATGCAGTTGTGGTTATCTTCTTCTCCTTGCTCTGTTCCTTATCTGCTAACAAGACATTCCACATGTGGTTGTAGTCCTCGCTTTGCTCCTTGCCGATAAGACATTAGTCCTTGCGGGTCAGCCCATCAACCGTGCACTGCTAAGGCGTTCTTGCGATTAACTATCTACTAACAAGGCATCTATTATCTACTGACAAGGTACTATGCCTCCACAAGTCCCCATAACTTTGCGTCGCCACGCATGGACTCATCAGCTTACATTCCCTCCAACTGGTACAGATTTGCCCGAAGAAAGCTGGCCTAACTCACACATGCCAAACAATCTGCCAGGCTAGTTTCCTAATATTTTAACAGCTGCTGTTACTTATTCTTATAACCACAGCATTTCTGCATATAATTTACATTCCTGTATATATCCTCTTATTTTTTTGGCATCACTGAATCATTTCCAAATTTCTCTTCTATTTAGTCTAATAGATGTAAAACATTATTTAGTTTTTTACTCATAAAGATGACCAAAAGCAGCTGTGTCTTTACAACTGTTGGATGAAAACCAAAAGGTCATTTTTACATACACTAATGGGAATTAATTTCAGAACACAGACCCCATAATAAAAAAAAACTGCATCTCATCTTACCTGCAGAAAGGTCTGCAGCTATATATTGAAAAAAAAAAAAACTTTTATTAGAGTTTATTATGAAATTACTTTTAAAAGAGTCCATTATTTTAAACTGCTATAAAGACAAAACTTTAACCCAGTGCAGAAGTCCATCTGGAAAATTTCCTGACTGCCGCTTCACAAGAGAGTTTGAAATACATGGGGTTTCATACAGGGTCATCACAAAGGTATTAGAGGGGAGGACTCTCTAGCCATCACCTCAGTCCCCGAGTAGGACAACTGTCCCCTGTGACCTGCCATTCAGCCTTCCACTCAAGTCTTCAGCTCTCCTCCTGGGACTCACCTTTCTCCCTTACCCTGGTCCTCCTGCACTGCCACTGCCTCCTTCACTTCAGCATCCCAACCTTTGCTCTATTTCATCATGCACCTACTGAAAAGGAAAGGACTGCAAAAGGACAAAGTTAGTCTGACCAAATAATACTGTCCTTACTGCCTGAAGAGCCTTCGCCAAGCGGCTCCTGAAAGTCAGGAAAAATGAATTAGCTTTATATTAAATGGCTCTCAGTCAAAAGCTATAAACATGTGTGTGTGCTCTTTCCTTCCTACCCATTCAGCTCCCTCTATATGCACAGGTGTATGTATATATGCATGCAAATACACATGCCTCTACAAATGTAGTGCTGTAAAGGCATGTGTATTCTTCAAAAGGCATGTGCATTCTTCAAATACAACACAGTGAGTAATTAATTATCTATGGCAGCAAGAATTTCATACCTCTATGTTCTCCTTCACATTTTGCTCGTAGAATATTTTCTTGACTACATCTTGATAAAACTCAAGGGACCATTTAAAAATGCCCCTTTCATCAAGGGAGGGGGAAATGACTATTCGCTGAGTTTTTTTTCTGATTCCATTAACAAGTGGAAGACCTACCACATGATTTGACTATGCCACCAGGTTGTCTTCCAGACCTGGATGATCTCCCAGAAGAAACCAGGACCCAGGATCATTGACGGTGACCAAATTGGTCTTCAGCTAATTGGAACATGATGGGAAAGCAAAATGAAGTTCACCTCCATAGGCTCACTCTCAGTCTACTTACTCTGTCCTTTATCAGTTTGAGGTTCACAAATTTTCTAAAATTACAGTCTGAGAAGTCACAAGTAAGAACAGATGGGGAAATGCTACCATGACTCTGCTGATTCTATTTCTTTGCAAGAAGGGAAAGCCTGTGTAAATAGCCGCCTCATTTGCAATTCTCCTAGGCACAGTTGGAACTAAGCAAGGATGTTACGACTCAACCATCTGCAGTTTGTTTAACTATTTCGTTTTTAGAGGTGAACAATAGTTTCCCAACAAAGTGGTCATTAATAAGAACCAATAACTCTGCCAGTATTTTGTAGCTTTTATTTTATTTGTTTGTTTTTTAAGGAACTGGAAAATGTTGCCAATGTTTAGGTTTCATATGATCCTGGATTATCATTTTCCCTTTACCTCTCTTTTCCAAAGTGCCGCTAACAGGGGAAAAAGGAAAAGACAAAAAGTGAAGAATAATGTGAGAAAAATATCCAGACTTTCTCTCTTTCTCTTTTTTTTTTTTAGAAACATAGAAGCACTATGTACCATTTTCCCAGTAATAGTCATGTTATAATACATCTTATTATATTTGGCAGGTAAAATGTTTGATTAACCATAGCTGGAGAAATGTTGCTTCGATTTTAAGTAACTTAGCATTTTTGTGGTTAAATATACCACTAATTTTTAGGTTGGAAGGAATACCGTTTTGTTCGTAATTATACACTGCAGCTAATCCAACTCAAATACAAGTTTCAAACACACTGCAAACAGAAGCTGTTCAGAGAAAATGGTATTGTGTGTATAAAGCAAATAAATCCAGAATTTTCTTGACCATCAATAACAGAAAAAAGAATCAGTCAAAAATTACTAGGGCTTCAGTTTACACCAGCCTCTTTTCTCCCAGAGTGTAGCTACATAATTCAGCTGGAAAGGAAGACAAAGCAGGATATTTATACATTATCTCAGACAGCATTCAAAGTCGTTTTAGTATTTGTCTGTTTAGTGATGATCTTCATTCAAGTGGGTTTGAAACGTGACAAGCTTCCAGTTTGGGTCCCATTTCCTGAGGTGGAAGCAAGCTGAAACCTCTGAGCAGTTGCACAACGCACCACCTGCTAGATCTCTTCCAGCTGCACTGGCGACTCTGCAGTGAGGACACTGCAGCTTGGCAAAGGAATATGTCAGGAGATGCCCATAAAAGCAGCAAATGACCATTCTCCATCTAGACAACTCATCCTGTTAGGCTAGTCAGTTGTGCATATTCCAGGAACATATGCATACAAATATATATGCAAAGAGCAATATGAAAAATCCCTAAGCAAACATTCAGTATCATCTTTCCTTGTATATCCTCTCTTGTGTCCAAGAATCAGTATTTTAGGGACTGAGATATCCTGGGGTAGTTGTTTAAATAGCCTGTGAATTCACCTCAGTCTTTACAAAAATCAGGCTTATATTTATCTTTCATAACATCAGAGTGCTGCGTGAGCTGGTGGATGTCATAGCTAAGCCACTTCCCATCATCTTTGAAAGATCCTGGAGAACGGGGGAGGTGCCAGAGGACTGGAAGAAAGCCAATGTCACGCCAGTCCTCAAAAAAGGCAAGGAGGAGGACCTGGGCAACTACAGGCCAGTGAGCCTCACCTCCGTCCCCGGAAAACTGATGGAACGGCTCATACTGGCCATTGTCTCCAGGCACATGGAGGACAAGAAGGTGCTCAGGAGTAGTCAGCATGGATTCACCAAGGGGAAATCTTGCTTGACTAACCCGATAGCCTTCTATGATGGAATGACCAGCTGGATAGATGAGGGGAGAGCAGTGGATGTCATCTATCTCGACTTCACCAAGGCTTTTGACACCGTCCCTCACAACATCCTCCTGGGCAAGCTCCGGAAGTGTGGGATAGATGAGTGCACAGTGAGGTGGATTAGGAACTGGCTGGATGGCAGGGCCCAGAGAGTGGTGATCAGCGGTGCAGAGTCTAGTTGGAGGCCTGTAGCTAGCGGGGTCCCCCAGGGGTCAGTCCTTGGTCCAGTCCTGTTCAATTTATTCATCAATGACCTGGATGAAGGCACAGAGTGCTCCCTCAGCAAGTTTGCTGA